AAAAGCCAACGGCCCTATCTGGTGCCAGTTTTTGGTATGTCCGTTCTGGGCTACCGTAGAAACATGCCTTTAGATAAAAACAGCTTATTGTAACATAACAAAAATAGGATTCTTATATTCAGGTGATTATACACTAATGAAAACATACCTATGAATATTATTTCCCATTTCTGACAATAGCTCCTCATAAATGTTACACACTGGAGCTCTAAGGTTTGGTTCAGGTAGCCAGTTTGATTTTGGATCCTGTTTGGCACTGTATCCAATAACCAATATTCTCAGGCTCTTCTTAGTTGGTGGCTGTCGGTGTTGTTAAAATGACAAACGTCACTCAAAGCAGATTATATCAGCTGTAGAAGATTTAACTCTTAATATGTAGATAAGCAAGCCAGTCTTGTGAGAAAAACATTTGTTAGGTAAGAGGTAAGAAGAGAGTTCATCAAGACCCACAGAGTGGTGACATTTCTCAGTCAGCTGAGAAAATGATTTACATTTTAATTACATAACCCTCGATAAAACAGTATTGTTTTTAAACTTTTAGTTTTACTAATTAAGGCTCTGTTGTGGTTCAACAGAGCTAACCTTAATTAGTATCATAAGTAACACCTGTGTTTACCCTACTATTTCATGTCAAAATGGCTGCTCTAATAAAAAGGTCTATTAATGAGATTTAATGAGGTGCTGGTAGAAGGATATTGTTTCCTTTGGTCAGAGCTTCCCCCTGTTTCCAGTCTTTATGCTATAAGCTAGCTAAACGTCTGTTGGCTCCAGCTACGACTATTGACCCTACAGGCAATAGAGGGGTATCAATCTTCTCTGATCTAACTCAAGATCTACATTGAATCTTTTTAGTTTTAGTCATTTATAACCATAGTCACCTGCAAATGTTAAAAGTTAAACCTAATTACATTCAATACAATATTAAGGATTTGGATTTGATCAAATGCAACAAAAATACATTCTGCTGATGTAAAGTGGTGAACAAATTTTAGTTGGTAATAAGGTTATTCTTTTTTCAACTTTGCTCAAGGAGAACATTTACATTCCTCAATGTGAATAGGCTTTTATCATTCTTGATAAACTCCAGTCTTCAATCTTGACAGATTAAGTGCCCATTTAATGACTAAACCTCTACTGTTGTCTGGTGTCCAGGATGCATTAAATCTGAGTGCAGTGCTTGCATGCCAGCAAGGGGTGATGATGATTTGGGTTGTCGAGTGAGCGGACCATTGTCCTCTGCAGGTGTGTGTTTGATTCTGACATCAACAGCCTGACTATGACTCAACTACACGAAGAAAAGGCACATGGCTGCCAGCGCTGTTTGAAGCAGAGCCAAAGTAAAGTCAAAGCTGTGATCACCCCATTTTCAGCAGACTGCTGGGAGCGTTTGATTTCAAAGGCCCCCTCTTCTCTCTGTTATAATTAGAAGGAGAGCGTCCATTTAGCAGATTCATTTGACTTATTAGTGGGATTAAGCCTTTAATTAGACCTCTTTGGCCCCGGATGGCGTTTCACTGGAGAGCTTTGCTTGAAAGGGAGCCAAAAAAATAATAACACTGATGCTAATTATCTGTAGACATTAATGTACGTTATATAGAGCACGTGTCCAGACTGCATACAGTCTAACCAAAAAATATTAGAGTTCAGGGTTTTTTCATAATTCACTTTTTTTTGCTTTACAAAATAACAAAAAGACATAATGGACAGGAAAGACAACAATAATAACAACAACAAGAATAATACAACAAGAAGAAAAGATTTTATAAAATATATAAATACATAAAAAATGTATCATATATATATATATATATATATACAGGGTAAGCATTAGCATTATCCTGTTGCTATCACTCACATGTCATTGTGATAATAATGTACATGGTAAATATAATTATCACTGCTACATTAAAGTGATAATGATAACCTGGGCTAGTACTCCCTAGTTAACCATCCAATATTGCGTTCTATAGGCCCCATATTTTCAAAAATACCTCAATGTTCAACTTGAAAATGAATTTCTTATAATTGGCTATATTGGTCTTTTCTACCAGCCATTCATTAAAAGGGATGATATTTTTTTGTTTTCCAGTCCCTGACAATCCTACAACCTAAGGGCCAATCTACATCGTGAAGTCAGAGTTGAGGGTTTTTAATATACGAAGCATAGAAATGTGTCCCTGAGAAATGATTTTAAATAATACCAGCCCCTCACTGGATAAATATAGCTTCCAGGTTATTGAGTAATTGGGAAGAACAAACAGTTTTAAGACATTTAAATGAAAGTAAATCAATACAACCAAATCTCTGATGAACATACAGTAAGTCAGAAATCTATGCAGAGGATGAAAAAGAACTGAGGTGAAGTAGCAGAGATTTTCTACACACCCCTGAAGTATTGTATTTTTACTGAGGGATAATGGATCCTGCCTGCAAACCAGTTTCCTCTTGAGGCTCATTGTTAATGATGTACGAGGTCATTTTAAGTTATTCATGCACTCCATCGTCTCTCTGATTAGGAGCATGATTATGACAATGTGAAATGATAACTCAAACACCAAAGGGAATCTTTTAACAAGAATTCTACTTCACAGCAGACTCTCTTTATAATGTAACTTTAGTGCTGGTTTCTCTCCACAGAACACACTTTTATGATCCCATCCCCATCAAAAAAAGATTTTATCCAAGTTACCAGTACGACTTTTGTTAAATCAAAGCTTCCTCTGTTGTTTGACCTGTTAACTCAGAAAAAGTAGATTCCTTTTAAATGTTTCAGATGCAGGTGTGTGGGCGAGCGTGTGTGAAATATCACATCCTGCGGGTTGTGTTTCACTGTGTCGTTTGAGTTACCCTTCAGGAACTCTATTTTAAGTTTATGACTCTTACACAAACAAGCATTTTTTTACACTTTGCCTACATCAAGGACCCAAATAAGTTGTTGGCACACTGAACAATGAGTCCTCCATCTGTACAACTCTTCATCCTCCAGTCTGCCTGTAGTTCAACAATCAAACACACTTACATACAGATCTCATTTATTAGATAGATAGATAGAT